AACAATTTTTCAGAAAAATAGATTCCTCAAGTTCAATAGTTGCTATCGATTTTTCCAGTACTGATGGTGGTTTTCCCTCCTGGATTTTGTTTCAAGTAGCGTGAAGTGTCAAAAACTTGATGCTTTCATTATTTTCTACACGAGTTACATGTACTATCTATTAATTGTTGCTATTGTTGAAAATCCTCAATTGATGTGATTTCTGTTATTTTGTATAGATCTTTGATTCAGATTCTGTAGGACCAGTTGACATGGCTCGAATAATAATAATAATAATAATAATAATAATAATAATAACACCCTCAAATAATAATAATAATAAATGAAGGAAAAGATAAGAAAAGAGTACTACAGGCGTGTACGTCTGGTACTAAATACTGAGCTAAACAAAAAAAACTGAATATCAGCCATAAACACATTGGCTGTCCCTGTAGTGCGATACAGCTTTAATGCCCTTAACTGGACCATAGCTGAAATTAAGCGAATGGACGCCAAAACGAGAAAGCTTCTCACTTGCTATCGCATCCACCATCCCAAAGTTTATGTTGATCGTCTGTATGTGCCCAGATCCGAAGGAGGCAGAGGATTAGTTCAACTAGAACTGTCCTAAAAAAAACTACAACAATTGGCCTCCAAAGATATTTGGAAACTACAGAAGACTGGATGATGGTATGCGTCAAGGAACATGAAAGTAGTAAGCGTCTTTACTCCGTAATAAAAGAAGTCAGCGAATTCAAAATGGAGTTTCAAATGGGCGTAGAGATGCAACTACAGCACAATACACCGGCTGAAACTGCAAAATACCTAAAAAAGACAGCAAAGACGAATGCAACCGACCAGATACAGAAGCGATGGCAAGATAAACCGCTTCATGGCCAATACTCTGTCCGTACCAAACAAGCTGACGTAGACAAAACCCGTACCCATCAGTGGCTACGTAGTGCAGGGTTGAAAGCTGAAACTGAAGGTTTTATCCTTGCTGCACAGGACCAATGCTTGCTAACTAGGAATTATCAAGCACATATACTAAAATATTGTGTCAGCCCAAAATGCAGATTCTGTGATAAATATCTGTTCTGACAAGTACTGCCCACACTTTACGAAAGGCTTTATCTATGATTTTTTTTTTTTTAAATGATCAGTCGAAAATGTCGTAGAGCTATTTCTGACATTAGGTGTCTGGTTGGGGCCCGGAAGGAAATGTGTATACAACAGAAATCAAAGGAAATAATAATAATAATAATAATAATAATAATAATAATCAACGGAGCTTGCGGAACATTTTATTACAAACGACTGTAATGTCGAAAAACATTTTAAAGTGCATATTCTGAAAAAATATTCAGAATCTACCGGCCTGTCAACCCTTAAAACGCATAAGATTAGTTACGTATGCAAATTACTAACTTCCCGGCCTGACGGAATGAACCAAATGATTCCATAAGATCTATACTAAGCTGATTGATTAATTCCTCTTAGTATTATCAACTATTATCAACTAACGGAAAATTCCAAAATGAACAAGACCCTCATCATATTAATCACGTTTCAGTTGCATGCCTTCACTCGGGGGTCGTTTCATTTTTTTTCGGCGTGTTCATTACCAGGATAGCCGGTTTTTTTTTTCATTACAAGACAAGCGGCATTTCTACAAAGAATTATAATTTTTGTAGTTTTATATATTTTCATAATTGAAAAAAACTTGTTTTTAAAAAAACCATAACTTGAAGAAGAGAGGCATTCTCTTGAAATATTGTTTAGCATTGTCAAACATTGTGATTTTTTTCTTTTCTTTTTCTTTTCTTAAATTGTGCTTTTCTCTGTTGAAAAATATTAGGTTACGTCAATCATTTTGGGTTATTTTTAATAATAATATTAGTCATAATAATAATAATAATATCTGGCCAGCAGCTCAAATACTACTACTACTACTACTACTACTAATAATAATAATAATAATAATAATAATAATAATAATGATAATAATAATAATAATTATTATTATTATTATCATTTTACCCAGCTGCCCAGATATACAGATATGTACAGTGCGTCTGCCCGTAGATGACATGCCCTACTGGATATGACATATACGGCAATACCAGCAATCAGAGGAGATAAGAAGCTACTACTACTACTACTACTACTACTAATAATAATAATTATTATTATTATTATTATTATTATTATTATTATTATTATTAATATTTGCCGTGCTGCTAAACCAGATATACATCCAGTAGCTTTTTTTATCTCAACTGATTGTTGCTATTACCGTATATGTCTTTTCATGGTAAGTAAGATGGTCTAGAGTAAACACCCAGTGCATTATGACAAATTTGCTTGTCAGTTACCTGACCGTAACCAGTTGGGCATGTCATCTACGAGCAGACACACTGTATATGTTCACGAACGGGTGCTTTTGGGCAGCATTATTCCCAAGTGACAACAGTTATTTTTTTTTATTTTTTTTTTCTTTTTTAAGTTTGGGGAATGGGGCAGCTAAGGCGATTTATGAGTCATATCTAGATACTTAGAAACACCTTCAATCGATGACTGTCTTGGTGGGGCTATCTTACTCTTCTTTCTAACTAGATCCCAACCTGGACGTTTATGTGACGCTTTTACTAAAATCTGTCACCATATTGCGTATAATTGTCCGAGATGTATGTACCTGATATATGTTTAGTTGACTGGCTGTCATGATGGGGGGTATACTACGTACAATATATTTGTACCCCAGTGTCAATTTGTTGGCGTGCCGCTCTCTCAACAATGATTATGGCGGGAAAAACGGGCATATTTAAAATATTAAATTAAACAGCAAGAGAAAAACGAGGCACAAAAAATAATTTTTGGAAATGACCGTTTTAGCTAGTCTTTTATCAAAAAACCAATCGTGGATAAAATGGGAACTGCGGAAACGCGTACTGATTAGAAAGAACACAAAATAAAAAAAAAGTAGTAATGTACAAACGACAATATGATAGGAAAAGGAACAAGCATTTATAAATTTAGCATGTTTTGCTTTTATTTAACCTTCATCAGAAAATGAAATAGGAGAAAAAAAAGAAAATTCTCGTAATAATTCATTACGCCGGAAATACTTAGAGGGAGTACCGATAAATATTTTGCCATCCATAAATACACGTCAAACACACTTTATTATATCGTCAATTTTTTTTTACAAAATCCATGCTTAATGAATCTAAGATATGTCTACCTATAACCACAACCGGTTTAATTTAAATTCTTTCACTTTCACTCAAAACAACCCGAACACTCACTAATTTTATATTCGCTTGATTTTTGTTTTTTCGTCAAGTGACTGCATACACGATATACTTTA